TCTGATCTAGATCTACAAACACCATACAAACAGTGGTGTCGAAAACCTGTAGTAAATCACATGAAGGCTTTTATCCATTTTGAAAATTCAAGCTTGAATTAGATCTTTAACCCTGTTCCTGTATTGCGATCTCTTTGATGATGCCTTTTCAACAATGAATCATTATCGATAGCCTTATTTGCTCTTAAAATTATAAGAAGTTTTTAAAATTATAAGAAGTTTTAGTGCCTCAAAGTATCTTTATTAGAAAGGCTAAGAAATGTGCAAATGCCCAGCAGATGATCTTTTTTTAAAAATTTACAAAAAGGGTATTTAAAATGGTGTCATGGTAGGCACATGACAAACTGGTTTGGAGACCACGTTGCATTACAAAGTAGATAGGAAAGTTTGGATAATTTATATTTAAGGAAATATTACCGAAATTCAAAACAAAAAAATATTAAAAACCACCAAAACTTTGGTAAAAATTTTTGTCAAATTTATTTTTAGACATTTATATTAGTATTTATTAAACAGGAATAATGCCATTTCGTGCCTTTCTTATCAAGCTTCAACAGAGAAAACAGCTGATTATCTGAAATTAATAGGAAATCATAGATTTTCTGAATTGTTTGGGATTCAGAAATGCTTTCGTGTACTGCCAATATATCATAATATTATGGTAAAAGATACAGAAATATTACCAGAAGTTATAAAAAATGAAAATAAATTTCAAAGACTTTTCAGATCTCTTTTGTAAAACAAAAATAATTTTCAAATTCGAAATCATCCGATTAAAATTGTAAAACTTAACCCAAGCACGTATCTCCGATGGTACCAATTGAAATCAACTTGCATGCTCATAAAATTACACTGACATTTTATAAACTTTCATAGCTTTTCAGCTTACGACACAGGTTACTACACCTCAACCTTATTTATTATTGCCAAATACAAAATTACATGCAAAACATGCAATATACTTTTTTTCAAAACATGCAATATACTTTTTAGAAAGTTTTAGGATAAACTATGTGACTAGAATAATAGTTGACCACGTATGAAAAATTTCTGAATGTTTTAGGGAGAATAGAAAAAAAAAATAATAAATAATTTACGTTGCAATTACTGTTGATCGACAGTTCGTTTCACATTAAACAACTCTATCCAGTTTTCCACTAAAACTAATACATTTAAATATTTATGACTAAAAACTCCAAAAGTAAATTCTTCTCAATCTTCCAGTTCCAACTCAAAATTTTAAAGAATATGGTGTATTTTTATTTCAATATTTGATAAATCCTCTCCCTTTTTCCTTGTCACACTCTCCTTCCAAATATACTATATTCACTGCCTTGGAACGGAGAAATAATGTTCTACTACAAGCGTTTTTCATCTGTAAAAAAAATCTTTGGAAGGTACAAAATGTTAAATAAACCTTTATAATAAAATAATTCAAAGGATTATTTTAATACATAATATTTGTTACAATGAAGATTGGATGAGAAATAAAGTTATTTACTTTTCAAAATTTGAAATTTAGAAAAATTTTTCGAATTACAAGATTTTTTTGTAAAGTTTTTGAACTTTTTTTTTGTAAAATTTTTGAAAAAAAAAATTTTACTTTTTTGAACGCTGCAAAATCTTTTGAATTTAGATTACTGTAAACAGTGCGATGGTATTCAGAAAGCGATATAATTTCAATAGATGTAGTCGTTACTGTCATTTTAATCATTTTAACTGTACACAACAAGAAATTATAGAAAAATTAGATTTTTAATTATCGTCTTAAGATAATTTCTGCAGCATTTTTAGTTTTAGATATATATATTTAACCAAATCTCCAAATTTTGGATTACGATAGGTTACTTTGTCTAGGTTAAGTTTATAACTCATTTCTTTTGGTGTTTGTGAAACAATTCCTCAGAAATTTTTGTTAAAACAAATAGTCAAGGTCAGAAATCAAATTACAAATGTGAAATCCCTCGATCAGTACAGTATGAAGTTAAATACTAATTTCAACTTTTTCTTTCAGTGTTTACAGACTAATTCTCTAATGTCATGGATAAGATTATTTTCTACACAATGAAGTATGGAGCATTGACTATTTCTTCTGGAACTTCAGTTCTGAGTATAACAAATTTTGCACAATTATGCTTGTTTTTTAGCTTAGCTTTTTCTGATGAATTAATAAAAAAAAATAGACGGAAAATATGCACGAATAAATTGCATGATATTCCAGAAAAGAACTGCTCCATGTCTTAATTACAACGATAATTATTGCTCTTGAATTCCCCATATTGTTACTCATGAATTTTGATCCATATCTGACCAAAACTGATTACTGCCAAAACCAAGCTTGTGATTAGGATCATTGCATCCTTTTCAGAGGTATAAAATTACTGAACACGCTAATCACTGTTTCGGAAGGGAGATGATATATAACATACTGGAGGTTAATTATGAAAGTAATGCTGATCATGATAAACATTTTTTATTGATTAGGTGAATGTCCACAGAAATATGAAGAATTTTTATCAGTTAATCCATTCCATGTTATCAGGGAATCACGAGGCTCTTTGTTTCATTTATACTTTCTGTCATAATCGAATATGCAAACGTAAAATATGTGTGATAGGAGATGATGGTTTTCATTTCAAACAAACGTAGTAAACTATATCAGAACTAAACAATTAACATCTCAGTGGTTTTCTAATAAAATGAGTTGCATTTACAGCAGCATTAATACAATTTTCGAGTATTTTGGCGATATAAATATTAATCTATATCAGTGGTATATAAAAGTCACAATATTGCAAATGAAAAAAAAATTTTTTTTTTCAAAATATCAAAGTGGAAATGTTCTTGCAGTTATTTATGTTTTGTGCAAAATATAAAATGGTTTTCTATAAATTGCAATCATATGCTGAATATTTGAATATTTAATGTGGAATGTTATAATGCTAAAGAATAACAAGTAATAGAAGGCTACCGTAGACAGACAAAAAATGATGCTCTCATCAATATTCTACGGGTTTTTTTTTTACCTCACTGAAAACAATCGGACTCGTTTGAATTAATTTCAGATTATATGAAGAATTTGATGATCTTCAAGGCCCTTTAAGTCCACTTTTGTCATCTTTCCTCTCATGCAACCAAAAAAAGGCATCAGTTTATAAAGGAAGCAATGACCCACTGAATCACTATGAATGAGCCATTGTAAATGTAAACAACTATAGCATACGTTTCACAAAAGAGTCAAAAAGAAATGAAAATTTCAAATGCATCCACATATCCTTAATTTATTTGTGAGAGATATAAGCATGCAAGCAAATAAAGAATATGGTTTTACATTCCACCATTCCACCACAAATTAGGACTGAAAATTTCGCCAAAGCTTCATAGATGATCGGAATACTTTGAGCTTATAAAAAAGGATGCTAAAAACATAATTATTCATATTGCACAACATACAAAGGAAAGTAATTTCTAGGTATCATCAAAACTCCAAATTAAGCCAATCACTTTAGCACCTCCAAATAAAGTCAACTCACTTTAATACCTCCAAATCAAGCCTTGTTGTGGAAATTTTTTGACGTAACAGTCAAATAGCTATAATAAAGATTTTATTGATTGACGGAGGATTTATTCTTCGTCTATATTACAAGATAAATACCAGAGAATATTACGGGTAAAGTCAATTACTAGGTCGTTCTTTTTCATTGTCGCTCATAGGAATTTGATTGAGGCTGATGTGAAACAAATTGAAGGGCACTGCTAATCGAAAGAATTCAGTAAATGACTGTCTTCTGGATGATCCCAACTTCCTTTATA